GATGGATGGATGTTTGTTTGAAGGTATCTCTGGAACGGCTCAATGGATCTCGCTGAAATTTGGCATAGATGTAGAACATACACTGAAAGACCACATAGGCTTATTATGTTTTTTTTTTAATTCGGCGCGTTCGGTATCGGGGGCTACAGATAGTAATATTATTAAGAGGGATTATTTTTATTTTGTGATTTACGCAAAGAAAATCATTACTCATAAATATTTTATGTGTGTCGATGGTTGTATGTTGCATTGGTAATTTTAAGAATTCACTTGCGACATAATTGATACATAGTAATAATAATTTTACATTTTGCAATCGATGTCATAAAGGTTCGAACATTTTGTGTAAACTTACCAATAATAAAGAATTTATATACACAAATGTTTTTGCGAAAACTATCCGATATTTTCTTACAATCAAAACTTGCGACACTCCGTTCCATATGCCTATTACATTTAAAATTTTTAAATTCTTTGAATCCATACGCGAATAAATATTTCAACCTGATATGAAGTATCTAAGATAAGGTTTCTCTACAAATAATATGGCACGTGAAAAATTTTAATAAGAGACCTTTGCCCGGTAAAATAACTAGCGAAATACTATTGCAGTAATATTTAATAACAGTTTTGGAATTATAATTCATATTGATTTATTTGCCAATCTTGTACTACGAAACGATGGTATTGTGAGAAAAAATACAGTTTATACGAGTTTCATGAGATGAGAACATAAAATAGATAAGTCAAGGTTTCACATCGCTTAATAAGGCAATCGAGAAAGACTATATTATCTTACTAATATTATAGATGCGAAAGTTTAGATGGATGGATGTTTGTTAGAATATATCTCCGAAATGGCTCAACAGATTATTATTTTTTCTTAATTCTAAGCAGGCGACAGCTAATAATCCACTAAACCAGACTAATAATTATTTTAAGTGTGTGTGAATCAAAGGATAAACCCATAATGTTTTTGCGTAAAAAGTATTTAGAGAAAGAATTCTTTTCGTTTTTTGAAATAAAAATAAGAAGACCCGAGAATATTTCTAGGAAAAAATCTAAAGATTTTTGTAACGTTTTTTTCTAGCCATACGTATTGTGCGTAGGCTTACAAAGGCTAAATATACGTTGCCCAGAAGAGTTAAACTGCTTTAGGCAGATTATTATGATGTATGTAGCGTTAATTGTATAGCATGCCGCCTACTTCCCTTAATACTATGGTATTACTATGTCAAACGTATTACTTCCTGAGATTGTAGGTTTGAACATTAATCAGGATTAAATTGGATCCTGAGGATTAAATTCAACGGAAAAATTTCGCACACGTGTTATATTTGCATTGCTGTTAATAAAAAAAAACATTATTTTTTAAATTTTTGTCTGTTTGTCTGTCCGCAAGACCACGTTTGTTCTGGGTAATATTCGTATTTGAAAGGGTAGCTAATGTACGCGGGCATATTATGTCTTTTTTTAATTTTTAAATATTGCGCGGTCGAAGTCGCGAGCGACCGCTAGTTTATAATATTAAAGTAAGATAACAATATAAACTTTCAGTGTACTGTACTAACAAAGTAGGTTTTAAGATTATAATTTATAGCTTAATCAGCTTTACTGATTTTGCAGAAAGAGAGAGTTTGAGAGTTTTTCATTAATTCACTTGACATTGGTGTTTGGTGATTTTGATATTCTTTCGCGTTTTATAAGGTTACTTAGTCCTTTTTATCTCAAAACCGTAAATCCATATTTGGAAAAATTACAAATACACATTACATTTAAAAAATGCAAATTCTGTGAATGATGTTATTTTTAACAAAATGGCGTCATGTATGTTTATTAAATATCAAGAGCGCTTACAATAATAAAACAGTGAAGTATTTACTTTGTGACAAAACCATTCGTAACTTTTGAGAGAGTCGTGAGATATTATACTGAATGGATATTGGACAAAGCAAATGATAAACTTTGATAAAATCATACTTATATTATAAATGCGAATGTTCGGATGGATGTCTGTTTGAAGGTATCTCCAGAACGGCTGAACGGATCTAGATGAAACAGAATATTGTCTGGAAGAACACATAGGCTACTCATTATGTTTTTTTAATCCCACGCGGACACAGTCGCGGGCGACAGCTAGTATTAAGTTTCAATTGTTGAAATAGGATCAATCGTCTACGATTTCTAATATGGGTCACCATGGTTGATTTGGGATTCATCCATCTAAAGATAACAAAGGAACAAGGAAAATAATACTTTTTGTAAATTAAATAGTTAGTCAATTTGTATTGGTCATCCGAAGTTTACTGTAGTTGTTAATGCAACTTATTTTACTTACTAATGTTTGTACTTCATTGTAACGGGCAAACTCAAACTTGTTAGCACTTCAATGAAATGTATTCGTCCATATTTATGGCTATATTCGTTAATGTTAAAGGAATATAAAAAAAATCGTGCCTACTAATATTTGAGTCTAAAATCATTGTGCTTCAAAAGTTAAGTAATTACTGGATTGTTAGTTTAAGTCAAGTTAACGATCATTAAAATTGGGCAACAAATGGTAAGGACAACATAGATTGTACTGTAATTATATTATTATTACGAGCGCTATTTTCGTCTAAACGAAATTAATTTGACCCGCAATAAAACAAGTGCACAAATTATTAACCAGTGCGGTTTTAGATTTAACAAATGTTCAATGCATTTTGGTACACCATTTACAAATTTTTTTATTACGTTTTCTTCTCAAAATTCCTACATAATAGAGTTTGCTCATCATGATCAGTTTATTAAGCAATACAACTATAATACTTAAATCTATATACATAAAAGAAAGTCGTGTTAGTTACACTATTTATAACTCAAGAACGGCTTTACCGATATGGCTGAAAATTTGTAGCTTAGAGCCAGGAGACGGACATAGGATACTATTTTTTTCTTTTTTTTTTTCGAATTTGTGCCTTGAAGAGCTGCTTTTTATTTAACTTACTAATATTATAAATGCGATTGTTTAGATGGATGTGATGTAGATGGATGGATGGGTGAGATACACTAATTAAGTTTTTTTTATACATATATCCGCTCGGACGGAGTCGCGAGCGACAGCTAGTCTTAGATAAATAAACATTCAAGATCTATTCTTTATGATACATCATAAGTTGTGTTCATTCCTTAACTATTAGTCTGCAGAGTTAGTGGTTTCATTACGTCAGCATTAAATCGTATAAATCTTCTTATTACCTGTAACTATATTACCAATATTACTAATCGTACCTTCTTGTTGCCATCTGATTCATCTTCCACGAAAACATGACCATGAATTATTTTATCAACATCATTTTACTAATGCTACTTTTGTTTAAAAACTCGGAATTAATCAAAGACGTAAATTGCTACAAACTAACATAGTAAAATTTTGGGATATGTAAAACATAAAATCAAAACTAAAAGCAAGAGCGTCGGTGGCTCAGGGTTCAAGCACTTGACTTGCAATCTGCAGGTCCTGGGTTCGAATCCCGCCACGTACCAATGTGTTTTTCGATTTCCGATTTACATATGTACATTTATCCGACGTTCTTACGGTGAAGGAAAGCACCGTGATGCAACCTGCACATATCTGAGAAGAAATTCAAAGATATGTGTGAAGTCAACCAACCCGCACTTGGCCAGCATGGTCGACTATGGGCTAATCGCCCTTAACTTTGGGTAGTCTCCGAGCCCCTAGGTGGGGACGTATAGTGAGCTGACGATCAAGCAATTAAATGTATTTATTTGTGTGAATTCGTAGGATTAATTAAGTCATATTATAGAAGCCAGGATAATTATATTGTTAAGCAATTATTAAATATCTGGTTGACCTATTAGTTAGGTCATTAATATGACTCTAAAATCTAGGAGGTCATTGTCAGTCAAAGTTCTTCACTAGAGCTATACACATCAGAAAATGTGGTTTATGTAGTTTTTTGATGATTCTATAATTGAAAAATGTTTGAATATTGTGGATTATCAGCCATGATTATTTAAGTCTGCTACGATTTTATTTTTAATGGTATTTTACAGATCAGAGATAAATCTTGTTATCCTTTATCTAATATCAATTTATTTACATAACTAGAGTAATTACAAAATACATAACTGGATTTTATTTATTGCCAATAGCTAAAGTTCTGGATAGATGGCAAAAAATTGGTAAGGTAGTAGCAATAATTGTAATTCGTCGTTGTTACAGATGCTATTCCGTTTAGTCATTTATCAACAAATATTGGCAGAGGCGAGGTATTATTTTGTTGCTTATTTAAAACAATGTTATTATAAGTTTTGTATTCGTCATTTAACCCGGTTCACCAAATACCAAGCTGATGATGTTTTTTTAATTGATTTTTTAAAAATGTAAGTGCCTTATATAATGTTTTTTAATAACAAATACCTGAGCATTGCGTTTTCAAAAGTGAGTGTAAATACAAAAATCTCAATCACAGTTTTTGTGATAAACAACTTTCCAATGAATTATTTATTCGGGACATTTTTATTTTTTCCATGATGCATGTTTTTGATTGAATACTTGTCTTAAATTTTGAAATTATTGGAATGTTGATTACCTTAAACTGATTGATATTTCTACATATTTTTTTATAAATATAGATTTCAACTATTTTAACTGAAAGCTGCTCGCTTTCCATCAAGCTTATAAGTTCTATTTTTATCTATTTTTTAAAGACTGCCTTTTAAATAAATTTAGAGAACCGTTTATGTATGTCAATAAATCAAACTCATTGAATTGATGTAAAGCTCCTCTCACAAATCCATCTCTTTCAAAATGTGTAATAATAGAATTACGTATATTATGAGTCAAATAGAATAGATTCGAATGCATCGATTATAATACTTTAAAATTTTGCATGGCTTTTGTTGATTGTAAGTACATACTTGATGTTTTTCGTAATGCATTTTCATCGGCGATACTTATCGGTTATCAGACGTCGTGAAGGTGCACGCCGGCGGGACGGACAGTTGATGCTCGCGCGCCGAGAGGACGACACATCCGCCACACGCCATTCGCTACTCGCCTCTTTATACAACTAGTGATTAATATATTTGTGTTACGTTAACCAACTACGTGATACCAGTACGTGGATTATTTAAGGGTTCGTGGTGATTTTAATTATTTATATATTTTTTTATTAATTTTTTAAAAATTTTAGATTTTTTTTTATGTCATGTATATAATTTTGTATTATTCTAAGTTTGACTATGTTGGATGTTTTATAGTCAAATAGTGAATGCAACCCTATTAAGTAGTATTATTGTAGCTCAAAATAATTTGACTACGATTTCTTTATTTGTTTATATTGCTTGTTTTAAAAATACATTTCAGGTGAATTTCAAACTGCAAGCTTTAGTCTCTTGCTTTATGAGGATTAATTATATAAAATTTGAATATATTTATGTATATTAAGGTATAGCACTGTAATTGCTATTTAATAGCTTCAAAATTATGCAATTTGAAATTTTATAGCAGTTAAAATAATTAGCTTTCTCTCTACGAACGAGAAGCAAATTGGAATCGTACAGCATGACGAATAATTTCGTCTACGATTCTATTCACTGTCAAAATATATGTACATACATTAACATAACAGCTATTTGTGGACACTTTATTGTACATAATATTTCCTGGACAGTCAATCAAATCAATTATCTTAAAGTCAAGACAACGACGATAAGGCGTCTGTACACTTTAGGTCTTAAGGCATCGGACCACATTCATCTTAAAGATATCGGCGCTATTTCGCTGCGATGTAAGTCGAGAATTTTAATTGCAGTATATAGATAGGTTATTTACAACTAGTTTTTTAGTGAACTTATACTTAAATTTATGTTCGAAAATGACTACTAAGTGATTAGTTTTTACGAGATTCAATTTGTAGCTTTCTAACGTTGTAATTAAAGTATTAGATTTTTACATCTTCGTACTTTGTTTACGCGTTTTTAAGGATTAACAAACTGTCATCATTTCGATGTCCGAAATAAATAATTTAAAGTTTGAGTGACAGTTATTATGTTCTATATTCGTAGTGGAATATTTTCTAAAGCTCGTGCCGAACAAAAGTCTCAGAGTACGTAGTTAAATTGCTATCATCAATCAAGATGTCACCAAGTCGTTGATTCAAGACATCGTAAATTAAAAATGCATTTTCCTTGACAATAAATTAGTATGGTACGAATTTTTATAAAAGAATATTATTAAGCTCCTTGGTTGCGTGAACTGAGCGCATATGCGACTCAATTTTTGCCCGTTCGCAAATCATACCCAGAGTTAACGTGATATTTCGGTATTTTAGAACTTTGAAAACTTTATTATCTGTATTCTGAACTTAAGACTTTTAAAGTAAATCATTTTAATTAATTTATAAGAAAAAAACAAATGATAAATTATTGAAATGTGTTCATGATTTTCGAGTTTTTCCGTATAAAGAAGTAGATGATATTTAATATGCAAAGTGTTGTACAAAATCTATATCGATAAAGCAATTAAGATATATTTAATTACTAAAATTAAAGTTCAAATCTATATAAGTACAAAAACGCGAAAGTAATAAATTGACAAAATCATAAACTAGCTGTCGCACTCGACTCCATCCACGCGGAATTAAAAAAATAAATAAATTAGTAGCTTATGTGTTCTTCCAGACTATGATCTACATCTGTGTCAAATTTCATCAAGACCCGTTCAGCCGTTTTGGTGATATTGGTGACATTTGTGTTAACTTCGTTCTTGATACAGTCATTTCTTGAAGATTACCAATACTTAATACTTAATTTCCAGTAATACTTCCGTATGTATTTAAGGCGGTGTATACGGTGTCAAGGACATGGCGGCTCGATTCATTAGATCATTAGCGCGTTTGCGAATTTTGTTGCCTCGATTCTGAAATAAATCCACTTCCTACTAATTAATCGATGCTCGATTTTATTTTGTTTGTCTTTTAGAATTACTTATTAGTGCAGACGTTATGTATATATTTTTACAAGTATTTTTTTTTATGATGACTATTTTGGCATTTCGTTTTAATTTTTCAGATTGAAAATACAACATAACAATGTGTAGTAAATATTGTACAAAATTAAGTTAAAAAATTGATGCAACAGCAGTAACCACTAAGTAACTTCAAAAAAAATATTTACAAAAATTCGCTAATTAACCCTCAATTCGATGGTGTCCAGTGTGACGAACAGCTAATGAAAAATCTACTGAACTAGTTTAGAGAAAATTACGTAATTATGACTACAAAAAAAGAGTTTTTTTGCTACAAAAAATTTCGTCGAATTAAGGGTTAAAAACGAGGAAAATAAGATAAAAAGTGACTACGTCAATTGAAAAAATGGAAAAACGTAAATTTTTAACTTCCTTTTATAAGAATAATAGAAACAGATAAATATTTCTAAGAAAGACTCGCGGAAAACGTTTAAAAATCCCTACTTCGTTACATACTTTACGTTTTGTTTACATCGGAATATAAGACATTTTGTATTTTCAAGTATATTTTTTTGTTTTTTTATTAAGACAAGTTACCTTTGAAATATTACTTCGAGTCTTTAATCTGCATCAGTTTAACAGCAACGCATTAATTAATAAATTATAAATTAATTTTGCAATTCTTTTCTAGGACCTTTGGTACAATTTATTTTACGTGTATTTTTAAATGTGATTTAGTTAATTTTCCGCTACATTTCTAACAAATAAATGCGAATGTTTGGATGTATCGATCGATGTTTCTTAGAAGGTATCTCTATCGCTCTAGAGATGCATGGATCTCGAAGATTTGTCATAGGATGTAGGACATAATCTGGAAGAACATGTCATCAACATCAACGATCTGGAAAGCGCTGTGCATGACTAAATCGTTAAGAAACCAGAAAAATGTAAAAGAATTTTGAAATCGGCACTTCTAAATAAATAACTTATATTTATTGCAACTTAACAATCAATTGTTATATATATCTATTTTTCTTTTGTTTCGCTTTTTTGTCTTTCTACTATAGTCAGAAAAATAAACCGTTTAATCTCTGTTCTTTTTGTTTAAATATAATTGTGAAATGGTTAATAACGTCTGTATTTGTTAATTTGCTGATCTTATAAATTAATAAGCGACCAGTAACTACACTTAAACCCTGTGGGTTTTAAGTACTGCTGTCTAACCGATGTTTAATTTGTTATGTGAAGTTTTTGTATAGATATGTATAGTCTAGATAACAATGATCGATTTGTTTTGTCATAAATCATGTTGCTACATTTATTTCTGCGTTATTAGTTCTAGACCATAAATGTTTTTATTCTGTCATAAATAACACAACCACTCATCCAATTAGTTTAATATTTACATTTAGGTTTTTTCCTAAACATAAATATCTTATTTATATCGCAGTAAATTTGTTTGCAAGAATATTATAAATTAATTCGTTAGTCGTCTACCAATTTTATATATTTTCGTAAATCTATAACAGCCGTTTCTTAGAATTTAATTAATTACTTTATGTCACGGAATAAAAACAAGATGATTATTATCTTCGTACATTTTTGTTAAATAGTTTCATTAGTTTTGTTTAAGCCTATTTTTACTAAAAACAAAGTGGTGTCTAAATTGATACAAAAACGGCTACTCATTCACGTATATTCGTCCGGTGGCGGCACCGACTCAAGCCCATCGGGGGCCCTTCAACAGGATGAGTGGTACTGGTATTATTTCGCGGACGCGGCCCGTCGCTCACTCTGAGTGTTTAGCCGTTTTTATGTAAGTTTATTATAATGTCTTACAAAAGTTTGAATAATTTAAAGTAGTATCTACTTATAAGACATTAGATTCACAATTAACGTATAAATTTTCTAAATAAAATAAAGGATAACAAAGTAAATAGTTCTTGATTGTCGTATTTATGTGTATAATATTGCCTTCAAACGAGTCATGATAATAATATTTATGCGCATAAATTTGATCCATTTTTAATTTCCATCACTTCAATGTACATACAAGCGAGCTTTACTAAATTTATTTTTAATAGAATTTATAATTCATTTTAACCTTGATTTCTGTAAATTTGATGTCTTCCTATTCTATATGTCCGCGATGTTATTAATAATAACGTTTTTATACAGTGCGCTGTAAATACTAATGAGTTAAAATTCATTCAAATATAAATTAATTAATTCTAAAATAAAATATAAATTGTACGTATATAAAATATATATAGACGTTCTTACGGTGAAGGAAAACATCGTGATGCAACCTGCACATATCTGAGAAGAAATTCAAAGATATGTGTGAAGTCAACCAACCCGCACTTGGCCAGCGTGGTTGACTATGGCCTAATCACCCTTAACTTAGGGTAGGCTCCGAGCCCCTCGGTGGAGACGTATAGCGAGCTGACGATGATGATACATCTAACTAGCTGTCGCAAAATTTCATACCTACAGATGTCTTAGTATGAGAATGTTCATATGTAACTCTTTTGATCGCGCTCACGTCCTGCTCCGTGCGTAAAACGTATCGATTATTACGAATCTTCTTGTCACATAATTTAAAAAAAAATCCCATTTCAACTATTTAGGTTTAAAATAGCGTGATATAATTTATGATATGTTTCCCTCGTGATAATTAAAATATATTGTTTGTATATTTTGTATGGAAAAAGAATCAATATAAACCAGTTTATAATAGATAAACGTGGAATGATAATTACAGCTACGGGCGTAGCTGTTAAAGAATGTATAATTATCAATAAACGTAGATGATTAAACAAAATATAAATAAATATTAGAATGAAGCGCAAACCACAATGAGTTAGCATTTGTTGCTCACATGTTGTGTACAAACATTTATAAACTATGGTATACAAGGTGGGTTTCCATTGCGCGAGAAATGTTTCGTCTTTGTCAAAGTTACTGATGATAATATTTCGCATGCGTTTATGTGTAATTGATTTTCTATTTAAGCTGGAAAATTGCACTACTTATTACGTCACTTATTGCAGTATTTATGTCAATTTAATTGTTTTATTTACGTAAATAGAAATGGTTATATAAATGAAAAATAATTATGGAAAATCACTTGCAAGGTTTAAACAAGTCTTATGAGTTAATAAACTG